TATATATATATATATATATATATATATATATATATATATATATATATGTATATATATATGTATATTTTTTTTAAGGCGCTTTATAGTTTTTGATTAATAGATGAGACTTAGCTAACGGCAAATAAGTTACTAGAAAAATGGCCTAACCCTGACAGCGTAGTCGGGCTTACTAACTTCTCGCCGTAGAGGTGATTGTATTCTGGACGTTTGCCATTACGAAAAGTTTTAAATAAAACTGTCGGTTTGGTAGTGAAATAAACATTTAACAGTTGCTCATGCTCGATAGATTCCATTCTTCTGCGTAAGTAATTGCGCAAGAGGTGTAAATATCTTAACTATAAATATAATAATTACAATAACTATTAATTAATGTGTGTATAAAATATATAATAACGTATGATATAGTTTACACGTGTAAACAAAAAAGTTCGTAATTTTTGTGAATGAGTGTCAATTCTTCATGTTATTCACTGGAAGAATTGTTATAAACTCGCCTAAAAAATTATGGACGTTATAAGACTGGAAAAATATTCGACACATCCGTCTAATACTGTTAAACATTACTATCCTTCCATTCCAAATTATTCGTATTAAAATATCCAGTACAGTTCTTATTTTTTTCTTAATTCGAAATTATTAATTTTATTGATAATATTTTAAATTTGTTATCATACATTATTATTAAACTTATTTTACACATGAATTGTCGTGATGTAAAACATACTGAAACTACAGAAATTAAGTAATAAATAGTTATTTGGAAATAATAACAATTTACTCGATTATTCTTGATATTTATGAGAAAAAATTGTTTATATGAAACTAATTATTTTTTATTACTAATCGCTTATTTAGAAACTGATATTTTTTTCAACTTTATTCATCTCTAGATAAATCATTCGAGATCGGTTCAATTCGTGAGTATCTTTCGCACGTTGTAGACTCGTCGGCGATCATCGGTAATCATCGGCTGGCTTCGACGGCGTTCGGTGTCGCTTGTCGACGCTGTTAGTCACTGCCGTGCTTGTTCATTACAGTTCAGTATACTAGTTGATATTTGCTTGTAGTCTTGTTATCCGTTGTAATTTCCGTTGGCTCGCGCGTTATTCATTGAGCGAAGACGTGAAACGACGATGCGATTGTACTGGAAAAGAGATGCGCTTCTGAATATATGAGAAAGAGAGAGAGAGAGGGGAGGGGAGAGAGAGAGAGAGTTGTGTAGTGCGCCAATTTCGATCATGACTTGGAGACGTTTACTACCAGTCCACATAATCTAAAAATGGTAATTTTTATATATTTACTAATGTCAATGTGATGTTTCATCATGTGCACGTATTATTCTTTTTTATTTTCAATTTAATAATTTTGTTATCAATTTCATAGCCTTTTCTCACTCCACCGTATCATCAGCTCCTTTCATATTACGTTTTTCATGTTATCGACATAATCGGCAAAGAGCGACTATCCTCGTCGTAGTAGCTCGGTAACGAGAATAATCGCAATTCGTCGCAACTGTATCGATGATGATCTATATGTTGGAGTTAGCCGACCCGTCATCGTCGACTACGATTAATCACGATTTAATTTCGTGTACCAACTAGAACGGCAAATCATATGTAATCTTTATATACTATATTTTTAGTGATATTAACATGTTATTAATAATGCCGATATTAATAGTGATGTGTTCGGTGAACAACTCTTAATAGTTTGTACGAGAGATTGCTAGCTCGGGATAGTCTTTGTGCTAATCGCGAATTTGACAAGACTCATCTCGCTTCTATGTTTATCCTCCGTGGTCGATTTGTAGAGAAGAAGGGGAAAGATCGCGTAAATAAATGAAAAATGCGATGAAAAATCGCGATGAAAAATCACGACTAGTTGTTAATCAGCAATATGTGACGTTTAGTCCTCCCAATGAATAATTGAAATCATTACTTCTCTATCAGGATTAGTTAGACTCCAGACAGTTTTTATTCAATCAATTTTTATTTATTATTTCTTTTTTATTTCGTTGTTCTTAAGATATGTTGTCAATTTTATCTGAAATCTTTTTAATTATATACAATTTAATTGATTCAATTTACATATCATAATTTATATCATAATTTGTTACATATCGCGGTGCTATCAGTAGCATAATTAATAGGAGAAAAACTGAGGCTAAAGCATGCGATAATAAAAACAAATAAAGAAAAATAAGTTAAAAAAGATGAAAAAAAAGAAACGGGTTAAAGGAAAGAAAAGAATAAGAATGGTTTATGATTTGATGATTTGATTAATAATTGTTTTATTATATACTATATCATATATGTATCCTGAGTAGAAATTGAACTTCGTGAATGTCTAGTCACGAAATAGTAAATTTGTATTTAACATCGGCATTAGTTTTTTTTCCTAATTAGTAATAAGCCAGCAATGTAAGCTTTTGTCTGCTAATTATTAGATAAATTTATTAGATAGTTAGCTAAATAAAATAAATGCACAGAGTTGTTGTTGGAAAATCATAACTAGTTGTCAGCCAGTAATGTGGGACTTTCTTTTACTAGTAATTGTCTAAATAAATTAACTGATATAATTCGATAAAAAAGATTATATAATTATGCGATGAAAAATCACGACTAGTTGTTAATCAGCAATATGTGACGTTTAGTCCTCCCAATGAATAATTGAAATCATTACTTCTCTATCAGGATTAGTTAGACTCCAGACAGTTTTTATTCAATCAATTTTTATTTATTATTTCTTTTTTATTTCGTTGTTCTTAAGATATGTTGTCAATTTTATCTGAAATCTTTTTAATTATATACAATTTAATTGATTCAATTTACATTATGTTTGAAAAGTACATTTATTACTAATAATACACTCATCAACAAAATTATTGCATAGATAAATTCATGTCGAAATTTCGCACAATTTTAAATGAGCATAATATTGCGAAACATTATTGTATTTGGAATCTTTTTTTTTAAAGGGTGAAGTCTATACTTTAAGGAGCATTTATCGAATTTTGAATTTATTCTCTCCCCTTTCCATAGTCTTTTTAAAAGTAAAGACGTGTTGCGTTTTCAAAAAAAATTGCACAAGTTGATCCTACGGAGTGGAATAATTTTTATTCGTAAATTTCATGATAATCATTGTAAAGTATAGGCTTCCTCCTGTATTAAAAAAAAAAAAAGCATATTTGTACGCGGAGTTTTTTTTTCGCGGAGTTGCAAGATACGCATTTTTTTTAAATTGCTTTATTTGACGTACTCTATTGAGTGAAATGAATTCTTTTCATAAATCTTATAAACCTTCTACGTTTCTTTGTAAATAAAAAAATAAAGAAGAGGTATGCACGACTTTTTTCCATGATGTTGTACGGCATATCAAAGTTACCTATGTAACCTATGTATTTTTAATCAGTTACCGTCAGCATTAACATTACCCGATGCGCACCATGGGGGG